AGAGAGAGAGAGAGAGAGAGAGAGAGAGAGAGAGAGAGAGAGAGAAAGTTAACAGGGCCAAGGACTCGCACATCTAAGGACATTGCCTTCGGGCTGGTGCAAGGAAAAAGTTAAGCGAATCTCCCCAGGGATTTACCTCAGCTTTATTCCTACACTTAGAGTTGACCTGTACATCGGAGCAATATAAGCACGCACCCCAAGTGGATGATTTTGCTACATCGGTCTAGCTATAGACCACTTTGTGCGTATTTTTATGCAGTCGAATTTATCATCACCGCAGGACTTCGTTCACATGCATTGTCTTTTAGTACGCTTATCACACAACAATGAATGGCCAGAGCTTTCTGTTTATCATGCCACCCGTATAAGATCAATTCTAAACAGAACGAGTTCAAAGATACTCGCAAATTCCCGCTGCCACATACTAAAATCTGCTAGCAAACGAACAATAAAACTCTGCGAGCATCGGTTTCATTCTGTATTCCGTGTGCTTTCCCACTCCGTCTGCACATAGCGAAGCGGGATTACATGACTCCAGACTGAGACAGACGACTATTTTAACAGCCGCGCTTCGTGTCCATGGTAACGATAATGTGGAGTGATATAGTGTCATGTTCTATCGGTTAAATCTGGCTCTGCCGGTTACAAGCCGCCGCGTACTGTCATCCGCTGTCTCCAGGTGTCACGTTGGTTGATTGCTGGTTTTTATTTATGGATCTTTTTCGTCATCGTCCCCGTTATTACGCAGCAAGATTTGTCCGTAACGTGCGGAATTTCCCACAATTTCGTGATAATGGTTGAATCATCGTGACGCGCACAACACAACGAACATTGCAGCTCACGGCTTGACAGCGCTGCGTTATGCGGCGAATGCTAGCAGCACCGTGGCAGCCGAGGGTGGGACGCAAGGCTTGGACAAACAGGAAGGTAGATAAAAAAAACGTGGAGATTAGAGCGCGATGTGTTTGTTCCCAGCAGTGGGGATGGACGGGGAAATACGTCTAACCTTCACCGCTCCGGCGCCTATAATTCGTCCTAGCTACGTGAGAAACGCGCTGCCGCTAACGTCGTATAACGCCCGTTGCTATGGCAACTGTCCGCGTCAAAATTTACGAATCCCTTGCTTGTTCGCCAGGGTTCGGCAACGAGGTAACATATACGCAATATTCAGCCCTCGCTTACTGTCCATTTAACGGGCACGCGTGCAGGTCGGTGGAAGGGAGAGCGGGGTTGAGTAAATACTATTTCATAACAAATCGATATTTGAGTAAACGCAATGTATCTATATATAGAAGAACGGTTTATTGTACAGCATAGAGAACGATGGGCTCTCGGCTCGTTAACTATTCATATATCCCGTTCACATCAGCATAGCACGTCACCTTCGCACCACCGCACTGTGTCCACTTGCGACTAAACTATATACCGGCTGTGTCATTTGCATAATGATTACATACGTAATTAATTCCGCACATAATTAATTCCGTATATAATTAGTTTACATTAATAATAATTACATTATACCGCGCCCGACCACGAGACACTGACAACAAGTGAGGGTTCACATCAACGGAGCATTCGCAACAATCGCAACAATGCGCAACAATCGCAACAATGCGCAACAATAGCAACAATGCACAGCAATAGCAACAATGCGTAGCAATAGCAACAATGCGTAGCAATAGCAACAATGCGTAGCAATTGCAACAATTGCGTAACAATCGCAACGATGCGTAGCAATAGCAGCAACGTGCAACAATTGTAGCAATGTGTTACAATTGCAACAATGCGGAACAATGGTTGCGTTGTAAGGGTAATTGGCGATCAATAACGTGGCACCACCATTTTCACACTGACTCATCACCCACAAAAATAGATAATACATGATTAAAACTGCCTAAATCTATAACGCGAAATACAATAAGAATAAGAATATGTGTATACTTATATTTGCGAAACGTGCTCACGCTTTCCTTCTAATCAGTTAATATATGTATTTTACACTCGTTGTTACTTGAATGTTATTGTAGGCACTCTCAGTATAGCATATAACTCTTCCTCATACTATGAGACTTATAAACCTCAATACAACATACACTTACCATTACGTTCACCAACAACCGAAAAGGTGTATTAACTCATGAAAGCATAATATAGTTACAATATTAACATTTTGATTCTTCCAGCGCAAAACCGATTTCTCCGATTGATGCGATTTCGATGGTAGTTTCGGCGATTGCGCCTGTGCTAGTAAACTCAGCTTATGTTATTATAGCTGTGGAAGTTTTTAATGTTTATTATTTCGACCCTGACGCATTCGCGCCCGGCATGTGGCGCTCGGCATGTTTAACTCCGACGTTCTATGTAGGTAGACTTTTCCTGAAATAGACAGAGCGATATTAAAATAGAATCGCACTAGTGTTAGTTCTACCTACTCTGGCAACTTTCTCTCTCTCTCTTGCGTGCGCGCTTTACGCCTTCCCGTCTCACTCTATCCCGCCTCTCTCTCTCTCTCTCTCTCTCTCTCTCTCTGTCTCTCTCTCTCTCTCTCTCTCTTTC